TTTTATGAAAGCTCGAAAAACCGTATACGCATTACCTTAATTTGTTTTTTACTTATTGGCAAAGCGAAAAAAAGATTCAATTAAATCTTCGTTATCTAAGAGTGTTAAGTTAAACATTTTTATACCCTACGCCGCTTGCGATACAAGGCTATATTAAATTTGCGAAGGAGTTGAGATAGATCCATCCACGGTTTACTATGCCGATCGATTCAGAATCCTTTTAAGCATTTAAAATATATTTCCGACTTGACCGGAATTGTTTGGTATAACTATTCGTTATTTTTCAATTGATAGAACTTCTCAAATATCCTGTGTGCAGTATTATGACAAACAGCTTTCAGTTCACTTGTTCAGATAGCTATTAAAAGTAGCAGGGTTTTTCACTTTTTTTAAAAATGGAAAAATTTGCGAAACGTAAGATGAGATTAAGATAGAAACAATAGGAGACGATATTCTTTCGTATACTCTAGCAGGAAACTGGCTACATTGGTCAATTTGAATGTGATCATATAATTACGTTTGAAGAACACTCTGGGCGTTCAAAAACTTTTATTACCGGAGAGTCAATAAAATGAAGACCGCCAGATAGCTTAGCCAAGATAGATTTAGCTAAGGTTATAAGCATTTTATATGTATCGGTATTCGAGATCCCTATGCGGTGGTATTAGACACGTGAGACCTATTGACGAGATGAAAATAGACTGAGCGCCGTTCTTCAAAATCCGAACGATTAATAATAACGCCATCAATTCTTTGGGATACAAAAAAAATTTTCATAATTAATTGCTTGCAAGTCGGTAAAATGCTAATAGGAGTGTATTATTGTCACTGATTGGAAGCGGAAATAAATCTTCAGAATGTGCTAAGATTACTGATGAACATATTTCAACTTCTTACTTTGAACAGTTAGTTACCTCTCAGCAGAATAAAAGAACGAACAGTGTCGTTATCCGCAGTTACTTAGAAATATTAAAGGGTTCATTAGCCATGAATAGCAGATGTGGCAAACTCGTTACGCAGCAACGTTTAATTAACAAACGGCTTTCAATTTTAAATCAGTGGTCACGGTTCGTGGAAAAATCTGAAAAGAAAAATGATAACAACTTATCAGTTTTATTAAGCCCCCAGTTAACGAATTTTACTGAGTCGCTATGTAAAGTTAATAGAAGTTATAAAAAAAAAAAAGAAGCAAAATGTACGAATAAATATGTTTTCCCAGACAAAGTTTCAATGTCATAACCACGATTGCTGCGGGCGAATATTCAGTTCAGGACATGAAGTCCTTTGCTGTATTTGTATACAAAAAATCAGCGTAGCGTCCTTTGCTACGGTGAAGCGAATGTTTGGTTGCCCCTAGTGGGGACGCTTAATTTAACCTGTCGCCCCCCGTTACCCGATTACATATTCGAACTAAAATTCAAATACAATTTCTTCGTCTTCTTCAACAAGAGACGATTCACACTGTTCTAAGTAAAAAATCTCTTGTTGGCCCTACAGCTAAAATCAAAGTGCAGCAATATTGGTTACTATATAATTATTTATGTAAGACCGGAAAATTAGCCTTTTTTTTTTTACGCAATTATATACCATCTGCGAACCGATTTTATAATATTTTGAATTTAATTTTTTTAATAAAGTGATTAGAAAAATTTGAAGAGAGCATTCTTTTCTTACACAAAGTTTTGAGGATGTGGTAAATAGGCGAGCAGGTGCACACACGGGTGTGTGCATCGAACTGCCGATGTTTCTTTCAATACAATTACAAGAAAGCTGAGCCCACTATAGTGGGTGCAATAAACCTATTTCTCAATTAATCGTTTTTAAGATATTTTGTTTTTCCTCTTTCTACTAAAGATCGCGAAGATTGTTTAATGTTGGAAAAATCAAGTGCTTTAAGTAATTGAATCAAATTAAAAATGACTCTTTTGCTCTTTTATTAATAAAATGTTTGTTTTGTGTTTATCTTCGTTTTTGCGATTTAAGTAACAAAATATTATGTACGAGTACTTTAATGTTCCGCCAACAACAGCGTTCAAGAGCTTTTCGTTTAAAGTTTCTCTTCTTATTATTCCTTTGTTCGTTCGTAATGACGTGGAGTTCCATGGAGTTTTCTGTAGAAAGAAGCCTTTTCCGTTTTATGATATATTAAAAATCAAAATTTATGAAAACGATTGCTACCCCAACAGCCTTTGCTATAAACGATAATTAAGTGTTTGTGATTTCCTGGCGTTACATGCAATTAATACTTAATTGGGATTTTTTTGTTTTCTCTTCACCAAATTAAAAAGGGCCAAGGTGGTGATGTTAAATAGAATGATGTTCACGTTGCAACGAACTTTGAATACCTATCAATTTTTTTGATACGAATTGATGGTTATTAAGCATGTACTCAACTATTGAAAACAGAAATTATTTTTACAAAATGGCGGATGAGTTGCCGTTAATTGAAGAATCCCTCCGGCAAACAGTTTCAGGGGAATCAGGGGAATCACTTGATCGACATGACCGTTGGTAGAAAGTGTAGGTGCGGTGTTGAGAATATTGATTTTTGTGTGGTCTCCGAATGTTTGAGCGAAAACATTCAATTTTTGTTAAATTTCGCGCAAAAAGGCAATCTTTTGTTTAAAAAATTATATCCAAATAAACGTAAGAAGATGTAATGAGGATTTTATCAGTCCCGGGAATTATTGATTGGTATTATAAGAAGGCATTTATTCCTAAGGTCTGAAAATTTAGGTGATTTTCTCATAAACACGTCTATAATAATTAAAAAAAAAAAAAAATCGAAAAAATTTCTTAAAGAAGAAGAAGCGCAACTCTCTACGCATTCCCTCTGTGACTGATGTACAACGCAGCTTAGATATCGATTTGAAATTTTCTTGGAAAGCCATCGACAAATTATGAGATTCTTGGAATAATTCCAGTATAGCTGCTATTAGACTACGCTTAAGACTACGCGCTAAAAGTGAAATGAGGTAATAGCATGACATAGGGCATTCCATATCTTGCCTCAGGCGAATATAGCTTTCTCACATGTTGAATGCTGATTACAACACCGGAAAAGATTGCCTAATAAGCATAGACTTTTAGAAAATTTAAACTTCCTAAGCATCTTTTTATTTTTATACCCTACATCACTTGTCGAGCAAGGTATATTAAGTTTGTGCGGGTGTGTGCAATACCCACAGAGACTTGACATAGATCCACGTTTTATTATACCGCTCGCAATTTTCAAAATAATTTGGAGAAATTTGGTACACCAGCGTGCACTGGCCAAAGGGCGCACCACTCTAGTGAAAATGATTCGGATTGAGTACTTTTTTCGACCATTTCCTATATAACACACGATCTTTATGAAAATTCGTTATAATATAAGCGAAGTGGTGTAACGTATTTAATGGTGGACCGTCTCCCACCCTAGTGTTTAAAAATGCTTAATTTTCATTTATTGAAATCCATCGATTTTTTTTTTCTCAAATTGTTCGTTCATTGAGAAGTCTTCGAATAAATCGTTGAGGAAAAAACCGCAATGCGTTTTTTTTTTAAAGGAAATTTATTAAAAAATGTTGTCGTGTTTGACATAAATTTTCTTTTATGTTTTATTAAGCAAAACAAAACATATATTTTATGTTAGTCTACAAATCATTAAGTGGTTGTTGTGACCACCAAAACATACCAACAATAGCAATAACAACAATATAATAAATGAGAATTTAAAATGATCATCAAAAGTATAATTTTTTTTGTTTTAATATTTTAGTATCGGCAGACTTAGCGAAGTGGGCGGCACGATGGATAATAGTTTATTTTTCGGTTGTTTTATTAACGAACTGGTTCGTTAGGCATGCTGCAAATACGTCAAGATAATACTAACGATTGAAGACACTGATTATAACAATAATTATTGTTATCTACAGTGGCATTGCTTACATTTTCTAATTAAGCGTTTTTTGTTTCTTTCTATCATACGATATGAAAGAGGTAGCAAAAGCAACTTAATGTTGCTGTTACAGAGATGATAATTATTCCTTGTACATTGTGTTTAGGAAATCTCTACAAAAAAAATCATCTGCAGACCTTTAACACATTAACATTTACGGAAACTGGTCAATTTGATGGGTACATTTCGTAAATCGTCACAGTCTCAATGATGAGATTAAGAAGCTGAAATTTGACGAAAATATGCTCTAATCGATTAAGAATATGAAGTTAAAAAATGGTCGTGATATGTGTACAACTACGCTCGCAATGCAGAAGAAATTGAAAGAATCTTGAAGAACACAACACAACACAACAATTGCTTTACATTCGATCCCGTGAATATAGTTTTAAAAAACTGCCACCAAATTCTTCGCCACGACTCTCTGCTTGTTTGATGCAAAAACTATTCCAATGAGTTCACGATGAGGGATTTTCGTAGAAATATATTTACAGCAATACATTTAGGTTAAAATGGCCAAAGTCGCCGCATCCCAGAAAAAAAGGACAGTAGACATACATATAACATTAAAAACTTATATATATAAAAACTGATTTCCTTGTGATGAATTTTTAGAGTTAACGTAAATCACGTAACTTGATCTTTGGCTTCGAAAAGCATCAACCTACTTAAGGGTGGGAAAAAGCCGCAGTCAAGAACAAGCACCACGAACTACTTGTATTCATTTTGGAAAATTTCAAACTTTCTTTCTTTTTACCAATTGTACACGTATCAGCGATCCGGCCGGCACTGCTGATGTACACGGCCATTCTATTCACAAGGCTGACAAAATAAAAAATGTATATATAATATAAAAAGTCAGATTGCTACTAGGGAATGTCAAAATTTTGAAAGTGTTTATGAAAAGTCCTCTCACTGAGATTGCTTCCGTTTTATTATCTATTAATTGAAAGCTTTTGAATCAAGCTAATTAAAAAGTCCCGGAACAATAAAACATAATTTGTAGAGAAGAAGATAGTTCGACTTTTCGGTACGTTTGCTTTCAAGTTTGATACGACTTTTCAAATGCACGCAACACTGCTTGGTCCATTTTTAAAAGTGATTTTTTGAAAGTCATTTCAAATATTTATTTAAGGTTGATGTAAATTCTCTTCTTCCCTTGTATCCTTAAGAACAGATGAAAATCGTAGGCCAAGTCCACGGAAATGATTGATACTTCAATTATTCGTAGGCATGCAATCAATATATTTCAACGATATATATTTCACCGATATATATTGGGTGGGTGTGGTTGATTTTTGATACGCTTTTAGAATAATTTTATGGAAATTTATATTGTGTATCTGTTGTGGTTTGTGGGCGATAAGCAAATGGCACGCGAAGGAAAGATTCTTGATTGTACAGCCATGCAGACGTTGTGGGCGTGTTTGCTTTGAGCTGCTTGTGCCATTTTCAAACTCTTTTCAAAATTTCTGAGCGATATACTTTTTTTTTTGCGAACGGCAAAATACGTATTGCTGATACTAGACAATTCGGTACACGGAGAAATGGATGGACTAATAGATGACGGACAAGAGCAATACGCGTAAATCGATTCAGAAATTGATGCAAATTAACAGTATTTGCACTTTGTAGGGTATCTGAAGCTTCCTTCTGGCCGTTGTTGTAAACATTTTGACAAAATGAATACACTCGTCATCCTTGGGTGATGGGCACAAAAAAGAAAAGAATCATAGAATAGTTGCCTGCTTCGTGTGTTTTTTTTTTTTTTTTGTTGGGGCACTAAACAGATTATCGTGCAAGTATTTATTACGGTTTATCCGGACGAATGCGACGCCAAGACAATATGTTCTGGCGAAAGAACAAATCGTATTGAATTTATTTATGTTTGTACGAGTTCAAGATTTCTCGAGAAAAGTTATGTTAATGTTTAAGTTAAATGTTTTTCGCATACGTGAATATGGTAACAGCATTTGTTTGAAGCCCCTTTCCAAAATTTCGAATGCTGACCTATTTGTGTGTGCCTTGAAATACTTTGTTTATACACTATAAAAAAAAAAATTTTTTTTTTTTTAAAGAAGAGTAAATCACACACACGGGGAACGTAACACTGAAATTAACTTAAACTGTCTGGCATTTGGGATTTCGTTGAAATTAATTTAATGAGACAAAAAATTGTCATCAATCAAGTCTGGGGTGTTTGTTTATAGCTAGCTATAAACGAAACGATATATTTATTGACATTATTTTATCTATAATGTTCCGATATTGCTAATTGAATATATGTATATCATGCTTGGCTTACATAAATAATGAATGAATTTGTGTGTTCGGCTATTCACAGCTATGTACGGCTTTCAATGTGACAATTCAATGGAGAAGAGATGAGAAATTTATCGCTTATGTCAAGCGCCATCGGAAGAGGTTAGTTTGTTAGGGCTATATATTAGTGTTGTTAGCGAAATTTGTTACGACTTGATTTACTTCGATTAAGGTGATGTTGGTGGGGGGTGGGAAAGGAGGGAG